CCGCGGGGGTGCTCCGAAAACAAGGCAGCCCAGGTGCGCCTGGGCTGCTCCGCTGCCGGCTTCCCCGAGGCTTTGCAAAGCCGCAGAGGGGCTCGGGCAGCCGGGCAGTCCCCACTGCCCAAGCCCCTCCACGGCTTTGCTCCGCATCCTCCTGGTCTGCAGAGGTCCCGCAGTCCATGTCCTCTGGGGCGAGAAAAGCCGCGTTCGTAACTGCGGATCCGATGTAAGTCGGATCCGCGTAAGTCGGGGACTGCCTGTATTATGCTGTTGTAACAGCCACTCAGGGAATTCAAATTAACAAAACCCTCTTGCAGACTTACATGATTCAGGTGCACAAGTAAATGAAGTAGAACCATTATGTGTTATAAGAAACGGAAAAGGGAAATTAATGACCGTGTTACAGAAAAGAACAAAGGAACAAGGAAGAATCCTTTTCCAGTTTCAGAGAGGATCTTACATCACTGGATTATTTGTGTTACTCAACTGCAATAAGGTTAATAAAACCAGAGGAATAGTAAAAGTCCGCTTTACTTTATGCACCTCATTCAGCAAAACTAGACTGATCTGTATATGGTCAATTTCACTTTCTAGTTACACTAGTACACAATTCGTGTGCAAGTGCATATTTACATCAAAAAAAATCTTTTTACTGCTTTAGAACTTGAGGACACCTGACTGATGCAGCTCTTTTTTAACAGCACAACTGCTACATTTTAGGCTTAATCCACTTGGCAAGACCTTTTTTAAGAAGTGGACAATGGTTAGGTGCCTTTATAATGTAGGCCCACCTATAGTGAAAGTCAGACTCTATAATTTGTGCATTGCCAAAAATGAAGAATACAAATGGGAGTGCATTGGGACTGAAGTAATTATGGCACTAGCATAGATCTTGTAGGCTAGAGGTGAAATAGTATTTAATTACTACACCAGAGTTAAAGCAGGATTCAATATCAATGTTTACCAGGTCTAAGCGGGTATCCTTCTCGCTTCTCCACTGTATAGCCCTGGGGAATGTTGTAAAACTCGGGTAGCCCACCAAACTGTTTCCAAACCGTGTAATAATTGAGGAATGTTCGCATGGCATTATTGATGTCTCCTATTAAGCTCTGTGAAAAGAAAGACAAGAGAACACCTAGAGAAGCGATTCAGTTGGGGAAGAACAAATTACATAGAATCTTTTGTAGGAAAGCCCTCTATCACAGTCATTACATGAGAAGCCAATGAGCTGTGCAGTGTGGAACTTGTATAAAAAAACAACCCCCCCCATAAACCCAGAACTTTGTGGGCACAACCCAAAAAATCATGTTACCATCTACATGTTTTGTTCATCTTTAAGGTGCTACCAGATTATTTGTTGCATTTTAAGGTTTTCCTGTTCCAGGCTCACTCGGCTGCCCCTCTGAAGCTTGTGTCATATTCAGACAGATAAGGGAAGCTGAAACTAAAGAGGATAGAGGTGACACTTTTTGGACCCTCCCCTGCCTGACTCACAGTGCACATTCCCTCTAGGGCTTCCCTGACTCATTCGAAGACACTCTTCCTTTCAGTTCAGCAGCAGAGGGGCTGCTGCTGGGCTGTCAACTACAGGACACCAGAGAGGAGTGAGAACTGCTCCATAAGCAGTTCTCATTGCAAGAAATGCATTCAAACATGGAAAGCATTTAGGATGAAAGGGGGTGGGGGTGGGGAGAGAAGAGATTTGGTCTCTTTTCTTAGGTTCCCAGCTGCATAACAACTATATTAGGCAAGCAGGTGACAATATGGCTGTCCCCATTCACACTTCATATATGGAGTCCAATTCAGCTCTGCTGAAGGCTGCAAGAGGTGAAGTTTCTCTGCACTACACATCAGAGCCAGGCTTTACCCAGGGCAGGAGACAAAGCTATCCTGTGTGTTTGTGGTACAGATAGGCCCAAGACAGGGAGGAACAAGGTTAGTGTACGTTATTTCTCTTCATACCTGCAAGCCTGGCCAGTAGGCCTCCAGAGACTGAAAGACAGGCATGGACACTGTCCCTTTGTACATCTGAACCCAGAGATACCAGTCTTCAAATTTTGTGTAGTTACTAATGGCTTTGTTATAATCTAAAGAGAAGCAGAGGACGAGAATTTAACACAGCCAAGTTTTTAAACAACAGCCCCTTTCCACTGTGGTCTACTCAAATTAGCACCAAGAACATTCGTTCATACAGAACACTCTCAAATCTTACAAGGCTTTATTGGTACAAAATGATCGCTACAGGAAACAGTGTAGAAAGTGTTGTCTAACTTCTAGCACCTTCTTACCAAAAGAAAGTCTAAAAGACGAAACACCGAAAGAAACAAGTTTAGCTCAAAAACTACCCGAGTACTAGCCTACACCTACTGAAATCAACGGGAGGCCAGAATCTCACCCAGAGAGCTGAAGAGGCCTCAGTATGGAGGTGCTTAAGGTTGCATTTCCTGGGCCTCTCTCTGCACATAGATACCTGTCCCAAGGCTGTGTCTTAAGTGTACCTACAATCTGGTGGAAAACGGCACAATCATCCAGTGGATGAGTCTCACCTAGGAACATGGACATCAGCTCTTCGTCATGCAGAAGAACTGCTCCTTTAACAAGATATTCAAAGTAGGAATCTACCCCAGCCCCGATGCCTGCATCTTGGGCTACCCATTTGGCAGTTACAACATCAATGTGGTTACCAACCTGTGGGAAAAGGAAGGTTTTAAAGACATGCCAAAGCTTGCTGTTAATGCTACATTCTAAAGACAATCATCTCTTTCTGTAATGGTCTGGAAAGACATGGATTCCAAACACTTGGCAATCTTTATGAAATACAGACACATACAGCAATACGACATGAGCATTGCTGCCCTCATCTTATTACGAATTTGCAAGTTTCAAGTTGAATTGTTTCCACAACTATACCTGGTTTGTCAACAGGGGGATGTAAACAATATTCAGGAAGCCATTACTTTGCATTTTTAATGTGCAATATTAATGTCTCATTGGTGTAACATTTTACCTAGGATCTTATTGATTACAAGGCCATAAAGTGCAGCTTTATTTGATCAGAATTCTAGGACTACAGAATAGTGCAACTGCATTTTTCTGAAACTCCAGATGATTTTAAAGTAGGAGACTCTTTATACACAAGGAAAATATCCTATCTGTGGCACTCAAGTTTTAGAGCATGGCATTATGGAACTGGACCAGACCATAACTATATGCTTAGAGATTTTTCTCTGTCAGAGTACATGTGTGGAAAGCTTTGTATTTTATTTAAATTTGCCAGCTTCCTCATTTGAGGTCTACCTACTTATGGAGATGAACATTTTTAAACTTCAGAAATTTCCAAGATTTGTGTATAAAATGCAAGTACCAGGAGAAATATACGTATATTTTCAGTATGGTGAAATTGTATTTTAACACTCACTTTCAAAGCCATCAATTGACAGGCCTTGATTTAAAAAAAGGTAATCTTTGACACAGACTATACTTGAAGTTCCAGTACTAAGGCAGTGTTTTAAGGAGACTGTGAATCAGCAAGGACAGGGAGCATAAGGAAAGCTGAGTTATAAAACTATAAAACTGTGAAAACTAAAATATATTTGCCCACCAGCCTCTTCTGTGTGGAATACAAGAACTGTGTAATACAGCTACAGCAGATACAGTATTTAACTGACGTTAGAGGTGTTCTGAAACAGTAGGCTGTGCGCCACCTATAGCATGATACCCCAAGGTATCGTTCATTGAAGGCTAACGCTTGGTTATCTACCCTGGCTTACCTAGTACTGTCCCAAGACACAGTATATACAAGAAGAATATAAGCATAACACGAAAGGCATTCCCCCCCACTCACCAATCCAATATCTGAACGATTTTTCCAAAGGGCCTTAAGTGCTTTTCTGGCTACATTCTCAAAAACGGGGTCACCCGTAAGATGGCTTAATGTAGCAAATTCCACTATGAATGTACCGATACCAGCAGTACAGGTAACTGGGGTCTCTCCGGGGTTTACTCCATGCAGCAAATTCACTGTCCCATATGGCATGCCAGTTGGGGTCTGAAAAGCTGAAACATCAGAATTGAGATTCATGGGAGAGTGTTCGGCATCCATCACCAGACAACATTTAACAGGCTGTCGACAGGTGGAACCTCTCTAGCCCAGCACCCTCATGACCTGACCGGTGCCAAACCAAAGAGTTTGCCAGATCACAGGAGGTCAATATTGTTCAGCGGCATTCACAACGCTTCCACTGCTTGCTGGGCTCTTAGAAGACATTTGGGGTAAATTAGAGCTAAAGAACAGCGCAGAACACTGACAGCTAGGACTGGTGGGACAGCAGGAACCTTGGCCACACCTGGGATTTGTGGACCTCCAGCTGACTCAAATCATGCTGGACCACAGATGTTACTGGACTAGAGAGGTTCAACGAGAATTACTGCCTGTGTCTCTCATTCAAATGCATGAAAGCTAGCCAGAGACTAGGGCTTGGGGTAGCCCCAACAAGCATAGCAATTTGATGGGTGACGGTACCACAGCCCAGTATGGGAATAAAGAGGGGGGAAGCCAGAAGGCTAGAGAACAAGTGCGAGGCATTGACTGTGGTGCCCTATCACTTAGCGCGCAATGTTCGAGGTACACCTGCTTCACTGCACAAGTGATGATCTCTGTGAGATACAAACATTAAACAGCTGCCGAATACAGTCCTGTGCCCTGGCTAAGGTGCATGAAAACGTTACGACTCTCATACTTGGTCTGCTTATCTTAATGGAAGCCCACAATAGAGTTTGCACATTTTCTACCTCTCGAGACCATTTAATGTTCTTTTAACATCTTTTTTTTTTATATTTTGCATGGCATAACCACTATATCTGATGGTGTACATTCATGCGACTGAAAATGCCATGTTCTAGGTGTCTCCTGCAGGCATTACACATACTTAAGGCTGTCATTTCAGGACAGCCTCACATAAGGTATTTTGTCTCAAGAGACCCATCAGTCCTTCATTTGGTAACCATGCCACAGCTGCTTTGGAAGCTTCAGAGGTTTCCATGTGGATTGTACAGGACATAGGAGAGCACAGGCCCCTTTTCCCCAAAGTCAGTAACATCAAAATACTTGTATATCAATGCAGCTCTGACAAATTATGGGTGTTTAATGCAACCAATTAGGCATCTCCTACGATTCCAGTGATCTGGGGGGACCATTTTAGATGCTGAAGTGATGCTACTTGCATTACTACTGTCTAATGAACCTGGCAAATACTATGCAGAACAATGCAGAGAGAAGTCAGATCTACAGCTCTGGAAAGGCTCTCTCACCTGGCAGGAGTTTACGAGCAGCTTCTTCAGCCATCCTCAGAAGAGGTCCCGAGCACGGCCATCCTGCTTCCACTTCAACACCAGCTTTCTTAGACAGCAAATGAGCAGACAGGAGACCACCTACCACTGGAACAGCACAAAGGGAAGGGCTCATTAGGAAGTTAAAGGAGGAACGAAGTGAGTTTTCCCCTCAAAACACCCAAATTAGCAGCATTTTATTGTGTAATTAGGAACTTGTGGGTGGGAAGGGGGAAGACAGATGGCGCATTTGTATTGTCTAAGAAGGTAGTAAGCAAAGATGTTTTGCAAAGAAAAAAGTTGGATTATCTTTATCGTTACTTCCTTGTAAACTATCAGAAAGAACTGGAAGAACTTCTTTTAGTTCACTGAATTAGAAACAGCAAACTTCACCTATGCCCATTTAGCTGTATTACTCTAGAAACAAGCAAAGAACTTCTCATTTTATGACATCTGAATAAAATATGAGCAACTGAAAGGGAAAAGAGTGTGTGGGGTTGCTTTGTATTTTAAATAAGAGTTTAGAATTCGTGTAACACAGCAGCCATAAGCCACATGCTATTAGTGTGTAAAATATTTTAGCAGAAACTGTCTCAGGGTGCAGAAGCCAGCAGAGCAGTGGAGGAGCCAGGGGCTTAGAGAAGGGGCGGGACAGGGGTACTTGGATGTGAGGCAGATCCTGGCCTGACTTAAATTCAAGAAGTGATCTTGTGCTTAAAAAAGTTGGAGACCACTGATGTAAACTATACATCTGGAAGCATTCAAGAAGGCGGGGAGGAAATGCACAATGAAGGACGGGAGGTGTATTTTTCTTTGTTTAGTTTGTATACAGCAGAATTCAATTCCAACTGCTGCTCTGCATTGCCCCTCTACACAACACACAAATTCTGAAGTCAGACTGACACACAAACGATTTCCAGGTTAACCTAGTCTAGCGCCCAGCTCACCTCGGATGTTGGTTTCAAAGACAGATGCATTTACGTCAATATTAAAATCCACCCCCTCCTGCAGCACATTGACAACCCTCTGGAACTCTGAAACATTTCCCAAAATCTGGAAAAAGACAAGGAAGACATGACATAAGACATCTCAGCAGCTTCACTGTAGGGTTCGGTACTGTTTTAGATCTTTTTCCCTTGACCCTAACTGGGAGCAGAGGCTGCTGACTCATGAAATTGAGATTACAGAAGATGCTGAGAAAATGATTCCTACTTGACTTCAAAGCCTGTCTCGTCTCATTCTGGATTCTTATGCCATATTTAGAAGGCCTCAGTGACTGGGCACTCCAGGCACCTGCATCTCAGTGCTGCAGTGAAGTCAATGCAAGCTCTCCCTCGCTCAATTAATGCATTACTCTCAAGTGGTGAAGACCTGAGAGGAACAGAGGTGGCTCTAGACTTCTAATGCAGGACATTTAAAAAGTTCAGGAAAAAAACATTTTATGAAATAAAACAGAGGGAAATGGACAAGAAGAGGCTATAACTGAGCAAGGTACTTACTAGTAGAGTGTCCAAAGCATCAATCAAGGTGAGAGAAAAACTGAAAGAACAGAAGGCAGTGTAATGAAATGCCAATGAGATTGTCAGCATTTCTGCTGCTTGACAGGAACAAATGGGATGCTTGGATATTTAACAATCGATAGTCTAACTACAACACCGGTGGCTGAAAGGTAACAGCGGGAAGCCCCCTAAGCTGTGTATAGAGAAGGCTGGGAATCCTACCCACATGGCATCAGAGACCCGCACGAAATCATCCTGCGGGATCGGTCAGGTCACAACCTTTGCCCTAATGCCACCCCTGAAAGCAGGACTCCAGTGCAGAGCCAGCACGAGGCAGAACGAAGATATAAAAGTAACCTGCTTCCTTAGTGGGAAAATCCCCCCCCCCATTATCCACTGGCCTGAAGTCACCCCAGTCTCTCTTCTTACTGAGTGTTCACTAGTGGGAAAATCCCCCCCCCCATTATCCACTGGCCTGAAGTCACCCCAGTCTCTCTTCTTACTGAGTGTTCACAGACCCCCGCCCTCCGGGCTCGCGGCGATCGCCCCTCCCCCCGTACCTGTCCCC